TATATTATTTCGGAAGAGAATCGCTTTCTCTTTTTTATCATATAACACACATTTAAACATTTTGTTCACACGCTACACAAAAAGTTGTCAACGACCGTGGCAAATTAAATTATCTCGCTCTCACACGCATTATAAATTATATTTTATCACAATCTCCAGCATATTGTAAATATCGTAATGAATGACTGTTTTGAGTTCAAAATATTTTCTTTTATAGTCCAAAATTCGATTTTTTTAAATCTGTTGACTATTAAATCCATTTTTATTTTTTTGTGATTTTACCTTATTTAAAATTTGAATCGAAATGTAACAACGTTTTTGATTAATACAATTAATATTTTAATATAATAAAATATTAAATTTTAATTGTTTATCTAGATTCATTTGAAATTGTTATGGCAATAAATGGCGATTAATATATATATAGAAAGCATTTTAATAAAAAACATTATTTTTATAAAATGTTTTTACTTAAGATGTATGTTATATTATACTATTATATGCTATAATTATTAATAATATTTATTATGCTTATTTATTAGTTTATAAAATTATTATTTTATTAAGAATTATTATTCAAACATCAACTTATTCTTTAATAAATAACAGGGATCAGACACACAACATTCGAATGGTGTATTTAACATGTTGTTAACAGCTTTTTATTTTCAACAAAACTCACTCTTGATATCCAAGAATGTGTTTATTAAAGTTGACTTTATTAATTCATAAAACTAAAACTATATTATAATTTATTATCAATAAAACTATTTATTTTTCATTTTATTTTCAAAAAAATCAACAACCTTACAATTATAAATGTAATGCATTTACCTGTCATTCATTTTATTTTATTTATTCAATAGATGTTATCAAAAAGTCCATTACAACAATTTGAAATTCCAATTTTTCAAAATAAAAAATATAAATTATTTTAACAGGGATTCGTTTTTCAACTTTTTAAAACACATATTTTAACATATTACCCTTTATGACGAACAATAATATTATTACCTTATCCCACATGTATCATATATAACACTTTGTGTTTAAACATATTAAAATAAATATCATCGTTAAGAGAAATGATGACCATTTTTTAGATAAATACAAAAACAAAGGTTTCATATTTCGTTCCAAAAAAAACAAAAATTATTCCAAATTTTACCCGTCACTTCTTACCGGGTTTGTTACAAAACAATTTTTGTAAAAAAAATATTTTTAAAATTTACAAATACAATACTTGACTTACAAAAAGCGTTCATATTATTGGCCAGTTAATAAATCCATTTTAATACCACAAACAAATAAATCAAAATTGTTCCAAAAAGTGAGCGAAAACGGAAAATCAAGGGTTATTGTTCTTATGAATAATAACAATAAATATTAATTGATTATGTTTTACATTGTTTTAATTTCGAAGTTTTGGAGCATTCCCCAACTAGTTTATGGATCCCAACCAGTTTATAGACCCCCTATAATTGTTATTAACAAAACAATAATTATAATACATTTTATTATAATCACAATAATTGATAAAAAGTGTTCCATTTACAAATGTCATTATTGTTATATATTTTTGTGATGAAATGATCACAGAATTTGCTTTGTCTTATCATATCATTATTAAACAAATTCTATAATAAATTAATAATGAAATGATTAAATATTATAAAAGGAAATAAAAACAAGTAATAATTGTTAATTTTTATTATAATACAAAAAAGTATTTTTATTCCAATTGATATTTCGAATCACCTATATTTCATCTATAAAAACAAAATTAATCATTTATAATATATTTACATTTTTATAATTAATATTTTACTATTTTCAATATAAAGAAAATAAAAATTGTTTTGTTACTTGTGGTGTTTTGATTAATTTCATGTGTTTCCATATAAAAATTCGATACACTTTTTAGTTTAATTTAATAATAAAATTATAATTAAGTCGTGTTTTTCGTTGTTATTGTAAAAATCAACGAATTGAAAAAATTAATTAAATTTTCATTTTTTTAAGTGTTATAATATTGATTAAATTTGCGATTTTTGTATAAAATTTGGGTATGAAATTAATTTTTCGTGTTTTATAAACCAAAATATTTCATGATTTTGAAATAAGGAAATTGTAGTGTAAGTAGAAAATTAAAAATCAAAAAATAAGACGCAAAAAATCAAAATAAGAAAAAATAATGATAAGTAAAACAGGTATAAATTTCGACAAAATATATTAATATCCCGAAAAACAAAAAAATACTGTTTTATCGTGTCGGACTTTATGGCCCAAGTTTAATTTAGAAATAATTTATATTATTATTATTAACTATTTTATTATTTGTGACTAATATTAAAATAAGTTTTTTATTTATAATTAAATTAAAATATTTAATTATAAACTCTAATTAAAAACCAATCAATTTTGACCATTTTTGTTTCTTGTTTTATAAAGGATATAAAAATCAAATATGTTAAGTAAATAAAAACAAACAAAAAAACTTAATAAATAAATATAAATATGTTATATTTATTATAATAATTATTCTTTTTTATTCTTGCACATTTAAAGAGATAATTAACTAAACACATGGTTAGAAAAATACATATAAAAAATAAGCCAATTCCCAAAATTGTTGTTTTTTAAGTTAAAAAATGAAAATTTCAAGTAGTTATTCCTTTTTTGGACTAGTAATGCTAGATTTTTTGAATATAATATTTTAATATTATAAAGTATAGTACAGTTAAAATAATCAATTTGAAAATGCCGAAATAAAAAATGAAAAAACATACAATATTTTTTTGTCAAATAGTTTATCCCAAAATTTCGGGAAGAATAAAAAAAGACGAGTAGTCGAATTCAGGAAAATTTATATTATTTGAAAAACCTAAAAAGACAAAAAGTTTTAAACGAGAAAATATAATAGATTTATTATTCCTGTTTATTTACTACAATAAAGTCTGTATATTATCCTTATTCAAATACTTATTAATTATAGTAATAATTAATTATATTGTTTTTATTATTTTTTAAATAATAGATAAAAAGAAGTTTTTCAGATTTTGGTTGATATAGAAAACTCTTTATTATGGGAAAATGTTCACAAAATTCGGAAGTTTCCCGTTTATTATATACAAAAATTTAATAATCGGATTTTTAATGAATAACCAAAAGCAGATTATATCGACATTTTTTCCATTTATTTTTATTTAATTTCCGTTATAATAATATATTTAAAATTAATTTAAAAAACTAATATTTTTAATTACATATATAGTCAATTAGTTATTTTTTTGTTATAATTAAAAAATAATAAATAAATAATAGTTATTAACTTTTATTTTTTCCAACGAATAGGTTATAAATAATAAGTTTAAAAAACTGATCTTGGTAATAATTTAATATTTTTGCTTTTTGTATTTATAGTGATTAAATTACTTGATTAACATTTAAAATAACAGGTAAATATTACGAAGAGCCACACCCATTCAGTGTTTTGCTTTTTAACTTTTATAGTAAAAGACGAATTCACCACAAGATAAATAAGTGATTAAAATTTATTAGAAAAAAGACAAAAAACAAAAATAATACCAATGACTTGGCATATATAGTTCCAAAACATTAAGAAAGAAGGATTGATTACCATGTTAATATTATAAAGGCTATCACAACTACTGTTTAACTGGGAAAATTAGGCATAAGGTGAATGTCCTGAATTTTTTCTTTTTAAAACAAATTGCATTTCCGGTCAAGTGGTTAATAAAATGGTTTTTATTAAGACTACTTATCATTTGTTTCGTCATTTTTGCCCATTATTATTTATTGTAAAAATCATTAAAAAAGTTTTAAAATAGAAAGTTGTGAATCAATCTCATAAAAAAATGAACTGGCGATTAAAAACAAATAATACCAAAATTCTTTTAATTTGAAATTTTAATATTTTTTATACATGAAGAAACACTCATTACTACCATAAATAATATAATTTAGACCAATGGATAGAAACTATTATTTCAATTCGGTGTTTTCCATTAAACTGAAATATAGTTTTAAAATTAATTAATAATAAATATAAGTTTTCCCGTAGTAATAGGATATTTGTCTTAATTTACCAATATACTAAAAATGCATATTATTTATTATAACTACATGTAATTAACAATAATACTTATTATATATAATTAATATTTATTCTAGATGACAAAATAGTGTCTACCTTTTTTATTAAAAAAAGCTAAAAACAGCCAAGAACAAAAAAAAGTTGGTAATTACAAGTTAAAATTTGATTAACCTTTTTGTGTTGTAAATAAGAGGCAAAAGATATTAAACTGATCAAAACTATGGTGAAAAAACTTTCTACTTTATTGAATCAATAACTTGTTGTATATAACTTGAATTAATAGACTGGGTCGAGTGACTTGGTTGGTGGGTTTAAACCAGTGCAAATGAAGTTATTGTGTCATCCCCTTCGAATTGAATTCATTGAAGAGTTCAATCAAATATTTGCTCAAAGTAACAATGAGAAGTTTTTATTACAACTTGATGCGGCGTACGAGAAACAAGACTTTGGCAGATTTCTCACGTTGGTCTTAAAAGCATGTGAAATGGCAGCATCTAAAATTTCTCAATTGGAAACCACTGAAAGAGAGAATTGGCGGAAGATTGAGAACAAAGCGCGAAGGTACAAAGGACAGATCACAAACAAACAAGGAGGGTTTGCATTCAGTTTTATTTAGGTGATTTGATCACTGCATTGAGAATGGTCACTGGATCTTACTTGATGAAATCAACTTGGCGTCACACGAGACACTGGAAAGAATATCTGGACTGTTGGACGGAGAGTCGATCTTATTGACTGAAGTGGGAGATGTCACCCCAGTGCCACGAAACCCTAATTTTAGACTCTTTGCGAATATGAACCCTCCAACAGATGTTGGGAAAAAAGACTTGTCGCCGGGAATCCAATTCAGTTTGACGAAATTATTAAAGAAAATGACTTGGAGATGCTTGTGAATGACTATTTGAAACGAATTGGTGTCACCCCTCCATCGAAGAAGATTGTCGAGTTCCACTTGCAAGCAAAGAAATTGGCGAAAGAAGAATTAGTTGATGGAGCCGGACAACGCCCACTGTTTTCGTTGAGAACCCTTTGTCTTGCTTTACAATATATCACCGATGTCAATGGGTTCTTTGGATTTGAAAGGAGTTTGTACGAAGGTATTTCGATGTCTTATTTGACTCAATTGAGCAGAGAAAGTTACCCCATAATGGAGAATATGATCAATTCGATGTTTACTAAATCGAATAACAGTGGGTCTATTCCTAAGAACAAAAGTTATGTCCAATATGGCGGGTATTTCATTGAACAGGGTTTGGAGGTACCACGACTTGATGAGAAGTACATCTTGACAGAAACGACGCAGAAGAGACTTGAAAGTATCACGAGAATTGTCATGTCGAAGCGATACCCTATTTTACTCCAAGGAACCACTTCTGCTGGTAAAACTTCATTAGTCGAATATTTAGCTCACGCGACAGGGCATAGAATGGTGAGAGTGAACAACCACGAACAAACAGACATTCAAAATATATTGGGAGTTACTTCCCGACAGAAGACGGGAAATTGGTGTTCCAAGAAGGGATATTGGTTGAAGCAGTGAGAAAGGGATATTGGATTGTACTTGATGAACTTAACTTGGCACCTTCAGAGGTGTTGGAAGCACTGAATAGACTTTTGGACTTCAACAGAGAACTGTATATTCCCGAGACGCAAGAGGTGGTCAAGCCCCATCCACAGTTCATGTTGTTTGCGACGCAAAACCCCCCAAATACGTATGGAGGAAGAAAACATTTGTCACGTGCGTTTAGAAATCGATTTATTGAATTACACTTTGACGAAATACCTGAAAATGAACTGGAAATTATTATTGAAAAAAGAAGTCAGATTCCACCAAGTTATTCAAAGAAGTTGGTCCAAGTGCTTAAGGACCTTCAGAAGCAACGCTCAATGACACAGTTCTTTGGAGGAAAACATTCGTTTATTACACTCAGAGAGTTGTTTAAATGGGCTGACAGACATGCGAGTAGCTATGAGGAATTGGCGAGAGATGGATACTTTATAGTAGCCGAGAAGATGAGAACACAAGAAGAAAAGAATGTCATTCAGAAGGTTATTGAAGATGATCTGAAGGTGAAAATAGACTTTACCACTGTGTATGAATGTAAAGAGTTTGTTGAAGCATCGAAGTTGTGTCCGGAAATCGTGTGGACTCCTTCAATGAAACGACTCTTCTGCTTAATTGTTGAATGCTTCAAAAATAAAGAGCCCGCACTTCTTATTGTAGAGACGGGTACGGGGAAGACAACAGTGTGCCAAATTTTGGCCAAAGTATTGAACAACAGACTGAGAATATTGAACTGCCACTAACACACAAAAACTGCTGATTTCATTGGAGGTATGCGACCGGCTCGAAATAAAGATCAAACAACTTTTAAGTTACACAAAGCGTTGGAGACGTTGTTAAAGACGACAGGAACGTTACAAGAGTTGTTAATTATTTATCAAAAGAATTATAAGAGTTACTAAAAGAATGAAGTGGAAGACATAGAGAGTTTATTGAAAGAGTATATAATATTATTTAAGTGGTATGATGGACCTCTAATAGAAGCAATGAAGAAGGGGGAGATGTTTTTGATTGATGAAATTAATATGGCGGAGGATTCTGTCTTGGAAAGAATCAATTCAGTGTTAGAACCTTCAAGAATGATGACCATTGCAGAGAAGACGTCAACAGAGATAGAAGAAGTTGTTGCGAATGATACTTTCAGAATCTTTGGAACAATGAACCCCGGTGGAGACTTTGGTAAAAGAGAGCTGAGTCCTGTTATGAGAAACCGATTTACAGAGATCTATGTCAAGTCGTTTGAAGCAGAAGGAGACTTGTTACTGATTGTCCAACAGAAGATCAATGAACCAACAGAGAAGAAGTTTGCGGCTGCTATAGTCAAGTTCTTGATGTGGGCGGAGAAGAAATTTGGGAAGAAAGTGTCAGTCAGAAATTGCCTAGCGTGGACTGATTTTATGAATTGTTGTACGAGTATACCATCACCTCTTGTTCGATTCATCCATGCAGCTCATTTAGTAGTGATTGATGGTGTTAAGGATGAAGTAGGGAAAACAAATGTGGAGTATTTGATAGCATTGAATGAGGCATTGGTGACTATTGGAGAGAATTTGGAAGACTCTATAGTTCAAGAGATGTCGATGCAACCAACTTTGAGTGTTGGACCAAACAACATCAATGTATCAGACTTCACTATCGGAGCAAATGGTCCAATTCAAAAACAAGACAATTACAGTGTGAATACACCAATTACTACTAACAACATATTTCATTTATTGAGAGCGATGGTACTCCATAAATCGATATTAATGGAAGGATCTCCTGGAGTTGGAAAGACGACGATAATAGAGATATTATAATCAATCTTAAACATTCCATTGTTTAGAATCAATCTGTCGAACACACGGACATTAGCGATTTACTTGGAACGGATCTCCCACTTGAAGGAAGTAGTGGAGGATTTGGATGGTGTGATAGATTGTTACTGAGAACTATCAAAGTTGATCATGGGTGTGACTCGATGAACTCAACTTGGCTTCACAAAGTGTATTGGAAGGTCTTAATTCGTTGTTGGATCACCGAGCAACTGTATATATACCAGAGATCAATATGGAAGTGAAATGTCCACCGACATTTAGACTGTTTGCAAGTCAGAATCCACTTGGAGAAGGGAGTGGAAGAAAGGGATTGCCACAATCGTCTATAAACCGATTTACATCAGTGTATGTCAATAAGATGACTGAAAGTGATTTGAAATTGATTGTCGAGAAAATGTATCCAATGATTCCAGTCGAACTGAGAGAGAGTCTTATAGACTTTGTGGGGCAACTTGAGAATCAAGTGTGCTGTAAAAAGAAATTTGGGAGACGTGGAGAGCCGTGGGAATTCAATTTGAGAGATGTTTTGAGATACTGTAAATTGTATTCGGAATATTCACAACGTATTGATACTGATACAGTGAAAAGAAATATGGACACACTTGGGTTTATATTCACTGAAATCTTTAAGGGAAGATTTAGAGATGTTGTTGATATACAAAAAGTCGAAGAGCTCTGGAGAAGTTGCTTGTCACCAAAATACAAAGAGATGTCGATGGAATATCACAATGATATTCACATCACTCCGGAGAGATTTATTATTGGAGAAGTGGAGGTGTCGAGAACTGTTAATAGAGATACAACAAACTCAGACAAATATATATTACCAACACATGTTGAATCGATGAAACAAGTCATGAAGGGTATTAATCATAACTGGCTCATATCACTTATTGGAGACTCACATTGTGGAAAGGCGACGTTAGTGAGGAATGTTGCTCAACTATGTGGAAGTGTTTTAAAAGAGTTTTCGATGAACACAAGTGTTGACACGATAGATCTCATTGGTGGATATGAACAACTCGATTTTGAAAGACACAGAAAATCATTTTTGGAAGACCTTCGAGATTACATGAAATTGGTTACAAACAAGGAAGCGTTATCAATCTATTCGACATTGGAGAGGTGTACTAAAGTGTCTGAAATTGATAGGAAACATGATTGTATCTTCTCATCAACTGAAATGAATATCATTAAAGGGTTAATTAAAGTACTTAACGATGAATATCTCCAGTCTGAAATAACACGAATAGAAGTGACACAACAGAAGAAGTCGATTGGTTCATTTGAATGGGTGGATGGTATTGTAGTGAAGTGTATGAAACGTGGGTACTGGTTGTTAATGGAAAATGTCAATTTCTGTAACCCGACTGTACTTGACAGACTTAATTCACTCTTTGAACCAAATGGGTACTTAGTGTTAAATGAACGCGGTGTAGATAGTAATGGCATTCCAATCATCGTGAAGCCCCACAACAATTTTAGAGTCATCTTTACATCAAATTCGATGAATGGAGAAATATCACGAGCTATGAGGAATAGAGCGCTTGAGTTGTATGTACCCCAAATTCGTGAGATAGACGCACAACGCATGTTAACTGGATTTGGAGTGTCTTTACAAACAGCGAAAAGGATGATAGCAATACATCTAAAGACGGAGAATATGATGTTTTTGTATTTGATGAGATGGGCAAAGTATGTCGGGAAGAATGGAGAGAGTGCGATGAAAGAGGGATTTGACATCTTCTACGTCCAAACAAAATCGGACGTGAATGAACAAGAGAAGTTAAGAAACATTTACATGAATCAACAAGATATTGAATGTAATGAGTACGAGAGTGTTGTATTCAAATTGTTTGCACAAGCCAAAATAGGCAATTTGAATGTGTTTGAGGAGAACGTGTCGATTGGAGATTTGGTGAATCAAATGTCACAAATCATCCCATTAATATGTGATCAAGTGCCACAAAATGTAATGGAATTTGACTGTTTTTCATTGAAGATTGTCATTGTTAACACATTGAAAGATGTCAAATTTGAATCGACGATGAAGTACAAAGAATACATTTCAATGGTGTTGTATTTACTTGATGATATTGATCGCGTCAATTACTTGAGTTTGTTGCAAAGCATTGAAGGTGGAGAGAACATCATTGTGTATATTCAAAACGAGAACTTAATAAGACAATATTCAAGTCGACAAATTCGAGGGATGTATGCACTGTATTGGTAAAATTAACATGGCAAAAGTATTATATCGAAGTTATACAGAAATATTGAAAACATCAATTCGAAGTATTTGGTCATTGAAGAGAACTATAACGAATTTTTGTAATTACTTGATAAATCAATTTGTGAGTTACACGCTTTGGACGAACAAACACAATACCACGTTCTTTCACTTCGAGTACTTTTTGGTGTTGTGGGAATGAATGAAAATTTACAATTAGAACGATATATTATCTAATGTGTGATGCTTAGAAGTTTACATCCGACATATCAAACACTTACAAACAACTTGTTTGCCAGTTTTTATATTGATGATTCTTTCATTGGATCTTTATGGTCTGGGTTTTCAAGTTTGTTATATCCCAAACAACCCACTCGGTTATCTGAAGTACTTAAAATATGCGGAGAAAGGTATGGAAAGAATGATGTCAAGATATTATCAACGTTAATACAGAAGAGTTATACAGATGAAGAATTTGAGTTGACGAAGCCACAAATAGAAAAGGAAACGATGTTGACACCACTGTACGACTTCTTGGTAAATCTTCAAGTTGTATCACAAGTCTGAAATGGAGTAGAGTGCACTGCAAATCCTTTGGTCCACTTCTTCCAGACTGTTTCAAAGGAGAATTCTATATACACAATTCCAATGATAATGAAGGCACTTGACTCGTTGTGGAAGAACCACCCTGATTTGCCATTCTTACCAAAGTCAAAGCAATTAAAATGCGTGTCTTTGCTCTACCGAAGTGTTATATCTTGAGCACGAGCACATTTTACATCAAAAGAAGTGTTGGATGTCTTACCAATTTTGATGCAATTTAACTTGCTTAAAGATATTAAGAACATCTCATTTTCTTCAACATTATTAATGATGTCACTGATATCATTAATAAGTTACTGAATATCGTTCACAACACATTGACTGAGATGTTTGCATCAATTGTACAACAAAAGTGTGATATGTCTGTCTCACTGAATTTGATCAGTCGTAAACTCAATGACTTTACAACGAGACTATTCAAACGGGTTGTGGAAACTAAGAGAAAGAGGAGAGTGCAAACTTGTTTAAATATGGTAGTTTCATGTACCAAGCATTTTCTATTCCATGCATCGACCCAATGGAGTTCCCAAAACATTTCGTTTCTGTTTCAAATGAACGTATTGAAATAATTAGTAATCAGATCGAAAGTGTCATCAATTTACAGAGTCACGTTTCGAAAAAAAGTTAGAGCGGATACTAAACTTTTTGTAAATGTCGAGAAATACTGTTCGAAGTGGAATGAAGAAGTACGAAGAATTCAACAAAGAAAGAATTACAGAACAAAAGTTTGAGAACTTGTATCAGGAATTTGTATTGTTTTCATCATCGAATGGAGAATACTTAAAGATCAAAAGACTGTATGATGATATTGAAAATGTCAATGAAGTTGCTCAATTCATTCGTATCATTACACAAGAAGCAATGTGGCAAAAACAGACTAAATTATTTTTATGAACACATTCAGAAAAATTATCCCTTTTTGGATTTGACTATATCCGTCTTGTTTGGGCTTTATTAGGATTTTCTTCGAATTGGTTTGTATAAGAAGATAGTTTTGCACTTGCGAAATGAAAATACTGAACTGTTAATAAATTTTGTTATTACATTTTCAATGAATTCTAATATGATACAAGAACAAGCAAGATGCATTGGAGACTTCATTATTAACACATTGAAGAGAATAAGAATGTCCAGAACAGTGAATTAATCAAAATAGTATTGGTCAATGTTATTAGAGAGATGTGGGGTGACAAGGCTGGTGCGATGAAAGTGATCTCATTGTTGCTTCATTTGATGACTACACTCAAAAACGCGGAAGATGAAGAGAAAAGAAAGATCATAGAGGAAGAACAAGCGACTTATAAATATTCACACTAAGACGAATCAACTTGCCGTGGATGAAGATAAAGAAGAAGAAGAGTATAGAGCAGAGTTTCTGGACTTCTTCGTTGATGTTCAAAACTTATTAAAACACAGAGTCTTTCAATGGAAATAGAAACGAAAACGAATGAAAATAAGAAGAAGAAGGCAAGAGTTTGGATGAGTGATTCTGATATTCAGTTTATTATGAAACTCATTTACAAGTTACTGAAAGCACAAAAATGCCAAGAAAGCTTTGAGGAGATGTATGAGACGAGGAACAAAATAATTAAAGAGATTTTGGACGAGTTCTTCAACACAAGAGATCTGCCACTTCCAAAGGAATTTGATTGTATTTGTTCTCCATTCCATAACATTTTCATAGACAAGAAAGTAGCTATTTTAAGTCAGACGAAGGCGGAGAAAACGATTGATTTGAACAAATATGGAAGCGTCTATGAAGTCAACGAATTGCTTCAAAAATTAGAGTTGTTGTGTACACATGTCTTGAAGTTATTAGAGGAATTCCCAGAGAACGAGATGTTGTGAAGATCCTTTCTATTATAGAGAGACTGAAGAACTTCCCAAAGACAGACCCTTTCATGAGATATTTGATAGTCTTCCACATCTTGTTTGGTGAGCTTCAAAATCTGGAGACGGTAGCTGCGAATTATGTTTCATTACGAGAAGAAATGAATGTGGTTGCTACTATAATACAGAAGTGGATATTTTGGCAATTGAAGAGTTGGGATAAAACGACGGAGAGTCTGAATGAAGGTCAACTGATTCAAGCCCAGTCGTGGTTTGTTAATGTCTGGAAGATGGTAGATGAGATGGTGAACAATGAAGTCGACGAACAAATAGAATTGGGCTTTTTGGAGTCAATGAATCAATTTATGTATAAGTGCACGTATGGACAATTTGAAGAGAGACTTAAAGTACTTGGCATAGTTATTCAAATATGTGAATGCTCTGAAAGTCAGAATGCACGATTTGGGAAGGTCAGGTGATGTTGACGCAAATCCGGGAAAACTACAATGTCTTTGTATCGAGAATTAAAGAAGACATAGACAGAGAGACTAAATTTATTGAGACTAATATTAAAGAGTTTGTGAAACTGATAAGATGGAATGATATTAACCATGAAAAGATCAAAGACCAAGTGGAGAAGTCGAACCGGAAATTGAATGGATTTAAAAGGGAGTATGATGACATTTTGAAGAAGAATGTACAATTTGTTGTTCAAAGTCAGACGTTTGCAAACACCACGAGTGCTACTGATAAAGCGTTGGGACCCATCTTCAAAGAAATTCATAAGAGTGAAAAGATCAAGAAGACTGTGGATTCAAAGAAGAGAACGGACAATATCGGTTGTTTCATTAATAATCCGTGTTAAAAGAGAATAATATTCTAGTAAAGAGAATTTGGGTGTTGTATGGCTTGAGGAAGTCAAAAAAGACTTGATTGGTTCTGTTGTAGAACTTCAGAATTTAACAGGAAAGAAGGGTGTGAAGACGAAGAAATAAGCCCTTTTGGACACTTTATTACACTTCAATTGTCACATTCACAAAAGTTGACAAACTTTTGTTAATGTGGCAATGATTGTTATTTTAGAAAGTTTCAAAAAACTTGTAATACAAGGATGATGTCATTATATTTTTAATGATTATTATTACAGAACTTTGTAAGGAAACAGTTTGTTAAATTTTTATTTTTTATTTAAAAATAAGATTATTCAATTATTTTTTCATTTCTTCCCTTATCATTTTGGCATTATATTTTTCTTCACGATGTTCATCATTCAAATTTGGTTGGTTTGCATGATCCAACAAATTAAACGATCTTTCACAACTGCAACTGTTAACTGGTATAATAATCATATCTTCAACACTTTTTATCATATTAGGAAATCTTAATAAATCTTCTTTTTTCATTATTTTAAATATCATTTCTGTTGTTATATAAGTTTGTGGGCATATTTCTTCAAAATACTTTAATTCTTTATTTTTCCATTCCCTAAACTCAATTCTATCTTTCAAATATACAAGTTGTTTTGGTATTTCTTCATTTGCATTTATTACTTCGTCTGGTTGATCAGAATCAGTTTCAATTCGAATATTTTCATTTAATTCTGCTTCTTTTTCATCGTGATGATAAATTATATTACTGAAATTTCCACTTGAAGTTATTATATCCATTTTTTTCCTTAACTCTTCTTTAATTCGAATTTTAGGAATTGGCTGTTCCTTTTTCTTTTCATTTAATATTTGTTCATTTAACATTTCTTTATTTTCATCCAAATATTTCATAAATTTTTCAATCTCTTCTTTATATTTACCTTCAAACATGTTAAAATCAATATCATCTCTGTTATTTGGAATCATAAAAATTATCAAGTCTCTCCACAAACTATCTGCAGCCTTTTTTTGATTATCAAATAATTCTTGTTCAAACGCTTTTTGGTCTTTATCTCTTTTTTTACTAATTTTAAGGTTTCTGACAGTTTCAAGCAAAAATTTAAAATACGTGTAGGAACCAACGTCGATATCAGTTTCATCTGCAACACCAATTTGAGACAATTCTTTATATTTAACATTTCGAAGTGGGTTGGTGAATCTTATGATAGATGATTGAATAAATCTAACCAACCACGACACACATACACTTCTCAATTTATTTAGCTTTCTTTTATTATTAATTTTACGTACAAAAGAAAGGTCCTCAAATAGTTTGTTATCTTCGTCTGTAATATCATCTTTTAATTTGTACAGATATTGAATCATACGTTTTATTCTTTCATAAGCTACTGGAAATCTTAGCTCTGGAGACTGAAGCCAAGTTGAGACCAGTTCAATTTTTGATAATACATATTCCATAAATAATAGTCCACAAATGAACATTTCATTTGACAAATTGGCATTACCCAAGACATTACTTTTTATTTTTTTCACTGCTTAAATCATCAAAACAATAATTATTATTTGCTATATATTCTTTATAACCTTCAAAACATTCAAATAATATCGATGTAACTCCTTCATTAAATATAAATCTTGTGTTACTGAATGTACACATTTTTAATAGTATATTTTCCATTTTTTCATTAACTATATAAGTGTGCCATCCATTTCTATATTTTTCTGTTGTTATTTGGAGTAGAAATAGTTCTATTGAATTCCATCATTTTGTTCACAAATTGATTTACAATCAATATTTAATCTCTAATTCATACAATACTTACTTTTAAACTAATACAATTTCCAATTATCAAAACTTTTCATTAACTTATCTCATAAACCATTTTCTTCTCCTTTAACAGTGTTGCTTCCATCAACAGTAACACCTTTAACATCTTTTAAACTTAAACCTCTTTTTTCTAATGTTTCATTTATCCATTCAAACCAACCTTTACTATCTTTTTTACCATAATAATTACTTATTCGTATTTTAATTTCTTTAGTTTCAAAATTTCCGATATAAAACCTTCCAAATAACGAATAATGTTCTACTGAATTTTGTGACTGTGAATCAGTAATTAAATAAAATGGATATTTTTTATTACCATATTCTTTAATTTCATCTTTGGCAACATAAGTTATATATTTCATTTTATCTTGTATAGTTTTCGCAGACATATTAACATCCACAATGTTTTCTTTTATTCCGCACAATTCTAATACAATTTCTATCATTTCCAAAATTTTTTCGATTTGAAAGGCACTTAAATTTAAATATGCAAAATATAATGCGAAAATAACCTTCAAATATTGCCGTCTAACTTTACTTGCTTTTTCACTTTTCGAAAACTTTTCTTTATCTTGTTTTATTTCATCTTGAACTTTGTATTTACTTTCACTTCCAGTATAACGTCCAGGATTCGAAAATTGTTGGGAATCTTTACAAGTCGAAATTAAATATTCCATTATTTCTTTGAATTTAATTTCATGTTTCATTTGTAAGGGGGAGAGATCTTTTGGATTGGAATTACTTTGTTGTGGTAACAAGGACATCATATGTCCAATGTTACCATCTTCATTTAATGACTCGACAAACTCTGATGTATTTTGATTATAATTTTCAATCTGGTTTTGCTCAAAAGATGCAGCTCTGTGTTTGTGTATAACAAAACTGGGGGCATTTCTGGTTATCAATGGAATATCTTCCATTCTTATACGAGGGGTTAAATATGTATCAACTCTGTTAATATAATGAACCGTTTGTCCATCTTCATTCATGGGAAATTTAAATTTTTTATCAACCACTTTTACCAATTCATTCATTTTATTTATTTTGTTTGATAACGTGGTTTTATGTTCATTGTATTTTTCCATTTCAATATTGATCATGTCAATTACATTTTTATCAATAGAAACATTTTTTTAAATACACGTCTTTTTTATTCTATTTAATGCGAACCAATTTAATAAACAAATATCATTCTTCAATAACACTCTCAATTTTGGTCTTTTATTTTCATTTATTTCATCGAAAGTGTGAGATTTAAAATGATTTTTTATTTGGTCTTTATCATAAAATTTATCACACAAAAAACAATAATACGTGTTTTGAAAAAGAACCTTTGGTAAATTCGAAACAAAGGGAACAAAAACCAATTTTTCGGAAAATAAATCACAAGCGTGATCATTCGGTTTGTATAAAGGGTGTAAATCCATTATTTAAAGAGACAGATGTTATTTTTGTGTGTTTATTTTTTAATTTTATTTTTTTATTTTTTTTATTTTCAAATACACTTATTAATTATATTAAGTTTATTTTTTAAACATTCTTTTATAAAAATGTTCCAACGAATTATCATTGGAACATGATCTAAACGACTATATGAGAAAAACTGTATTGTGATTATACTTTCAGCCTTTGCTTTTAAACAAAGGCTAAAAGATTGTTATCTCATTATATATTTATATTAATAAAAGACGATATATTATAAAAATTGAATAAAATTATAATTATTTGTATTTAATTTAAAAATATTGGTTTTATATTTTAATATTCATGTTAATATTTCTTTTTTTGATTAATATCAATGCATTTTTTATTATCTTTTTGTAACAATTCAAATTGTTATTCCAAATTAACTATAAATTTTAAAATATTATTTGTTCAGTTAACATTTTTTGATGTAACAACAAATGGTTAAATCAAATAATATGATGGTAGATTTTGTGATTTCATTTAAAAAGTGAATCGAAGTTTAACAATATCACAAAATTTAGAGTGATTTAAAAACTCATTCAATTTACTTTGTTATTCCCATTTAAATTTCTTTGTTTGTACAAATCATTTAAAATGTATTTAACAAAAGGGAGCAAACTACGAAATACCGATTTTTTGAAGCTATAAAATATAAATTGCAATACGCAAAAACTTTAAACATTTCTTTTATCCTTCAAATTTGTGTTATGTTAAATACTTGGAATAAACAGGTAGTTTATTCCAAGTATAGTTCAAAAAAATCATTACACCGTTTAGAATTTTATTTATTCAGTTAAAAAGCTTGTATCAAATCGTTTTTACAAATTTGATTAATTATACAGTTAGAAAAGTTTACCTAAAATCGTTTATGTTAATGGTTTAAAAAACAATTATAATAATAAATGGTGGGTTAAACTAGAAAAAATTATAATGGTTAAATGAATATTATTCAAATTATCATTAATTTTATCGTTTTATGTTACATTTAAATCTTGAAAAATAAAACCAAAACACATTTAAAGTATCGTTATATATTCAATATGTTTGTCTTGTTAAGTTTAAACGTGTCAAAACATACACTGTTTAATTTGGAACTTTAATGTTACTTTATTTTAATGCCAATACGATAAATTAACAATATTTCCTATCGCGATGAGGAAATAGTTTTTTTTAACTATAAACCAAATAATATTAATATTAATAAAAACTAATTCAACAAAAGGCAATACTGCCAAATCTTTTAAGAGTGGGGTTTCTCAAGAATTTCTGCTTGATTTTGGCCAATAAAATATAGACCCACTTGATAAAGAGTGTGTCTTGTTACATTTTGTTTTAAATGCTACTTAATAGAGAACAACAAGAACGTTAATTACACACCATATTTGTAATTGAATTATATTTGAAATGATATGCTGACTTTATCAAATAAATCTTTATTAAATTTAACATTGTTCGTGATTAAATTAAAATGTTGGTGATTGTGATCATGTGATAGTTTATAGTTTTTTTTACCTTTACATTGCTTTCAAATCATATTCTTTATATTGTGTGTTTTGGTTACTTCTTATTAATTATTGATTAATCAATAATTGTATTATAATAAAACAAAATGATTAATTTGTTAATTATTTGGTTTTCTTTTTGAAAAGAGTATTTTAAAATGCATTTTTATTTATAAAAATGTTAATTAGTTGAATATTATTTAAGTTTGTTATACTATTTTTGAAAATAAAATAGTTTTGTGTTTATTATTATTAAACTATAATGTATTTTGAATAGTTTTTATATTATATAATATGGTTTTTGCAAATAT